TTTATTACTCTGCACGATCTCCGGCGGTTCGCGACCAGACGGGGCCTTCGTGTTCTTTCGCGAGATTGGGGCCACGAATTGCGGCTTACGAAGCCTTCTGTCATGCGTTGGAAAAAATTGCGAAGAAGAATCTCCTCGCTGAACGTTTTATTCTTTACGCGTTGTTACCGTAACTAACGAAAGCGGGGTGAAATTCACCTTGACAACTGGCCAAGTTATAAACGCAATCTGCTATAGATTCATCAATAACTTGCTTGCAATTAAATTTCTTCTTTGCGGAAAAGACAAACTTAGCGCGATAGAGACGTATGACGAAAGTTATTATATGTATCGTTAAATTCTAATCGGTGGTTTTTGGAAATTGTCACTTTAGACACTATTTTTATTCGGAATATATTAACAAGTAAGTTCAAAGCTTTGTAAGAAAAGCCAGAGATCAAATTACGATTAATCTACGATCGTCGAGGCAGCTGCAATTCTCGGCTTCTCTGAGCGCAGATAAAACTCTTTTATACGTATTATTTTCATCGATGCATATCACTCATTTGTAGATTTATGAATGAAACCGCTGTTTTTCGTGCGCAAGAAAAATACTCGGAAAAGAAAATAATTTTGTCGAGCGACAGAAGGAGAGACAGAGGAGAAAAGGAAAGAACCGCGTGCGGATGGAAGGACGACGGAAGAGGACGAAAATGCACGTCGTCGCACGTGTTACGAGGAGTCCCGCGCCGTAGGACCTCATGACACGAAGGATTGCGGGGGCTCGGGGGCCGAGGGTGGGACTTCCTTAATAAAATGGGGCGCAAACGCCACGCCAGCGAATATCTAGCTGATAGTGGTTCGGTCAGCTCAGCGTCCACTTCGAAAATGCCGAGTGGAGGCCAAGGGGTGGCGCAGGCGGGGAGCTGTCAAAGCGGAATCCGTAGAAGGGTGGCTGCTGCTTAGGCTGATTCAATCTACCGTCACCCTTTTTGGAGCCGACGGCCTTTTCGACGTATCTTAACGCGCTGGCTGATGAAACTCGTAAAACGGAAAAAAAGGAAAGGGAAAAGTATGCGAATAATGCTTCGAAAATATCGGAGTCTCTTAATTAGGACTCGCGAGGCTGTTAAGGAAGGAAACATTTACTTCGAGTGTTACAGAATTCTCGCGCTTTTGTGTTAAATCTTTGATCCACTTGATACCAATTGTTGGAGACGTTTAACAAGCATTGCAAAATTATTTGAAACCCTTTTGCAATACATTGAAACTGTAGAATGTACTGTAGAACAATTCTCTCCTTTTAAATTATTAAAATTATAAACAAACAGAAGCACGTGATCGCTATTGTATACCCGAGTCGAAATTTTGGCCTTATGTTGAACCTTTAATTTTATCATATATGGTAGTAGGACCTAAGATAGTAAAAGAGGTCGAACTGCAAATTCGAAATTTACTCCTACTTTAAAACTGATAGTGTCGGAAATTTCTACGTTTGCCAATTTAGCATTAAAGTAAGTCCTTTTAAGTAGGAGCTAAAGTAAATTTTTAGAATTAAAGATTCAAGGGAGGAGTACAAAATATAATGTCATAAAAGTAGGTTATTGCTGGTCTATGTAGGTGTATAGATCAGCTAAATAGGTGTAAATTATTCTTAAAAGTGTTAAAATAGTACCATAATTTAAAATTAATTAATGTGACGTACAACACACATAATCACAGAATAATAGCTAGCGAGGAAAACCTCAGTCTGTCATTCATTGCAAAATTGCTGATCCCAGCTAAGCGCAGATGTATGGCGCGTGTTTAAAGCAAAAAGTTTAATCGCGCCGCTGTGCGTGATCTTAATACCGATAGTTTAAAAGACACCAATCGTGTGACACTCATTCGTCTTGACACCACGTGCCCTGCATCGCCCACACATACGGCAAGGGTCTCTCCCCCTGCATCAGGTGGCCGCCGCGCAATGTAATAAACATACTCATAGTTAGAGTAAAGGGTTAGACGCGCGCGGTGGAGGATACGACCGGGTCGGGTAGAAGCGGAGGGTGAGAGGCAGGGAATAGAAGAACTTGTCGCATTCCGTAGGCAAAGTGCACGGGCCGAGGCGAGCCGCGTTCACGCGCGAAAAAAAGGCATCATAAAAAAATGCAAGGTTACCCACATTTTTTTTTATCACCCGAACTGCTTTGCGAGGAGGCCGGGGTGGGAGGGATGCGGAAAGAGAGGAGAAAGACGGGGCGGAGGACGAGAAAAAGAGTTTAGTTATCGCCGGATAACACCCTCGCACTTTTTACGCAGGGGCTCGTGGCTCGGATTAATAAAAAGTTAGACAAACTGTCAAGAGTTACGTTTGTCGTTCGATGGAATTAGATGATCTTCAAGTCGTTCGAAGGGATTTCCCGACGGAAAAACGTTTAGTAGACCGGACCGCACGAGGATCTCTAAGACGTTGAAATTTTTAAGCTCTGCAAAGTTTATAATTTTAGAATTCTCAATAAAAGGTAAGTTAACGAGGTTTTTGAAAATTAATAAATTTTAAATGATGAGTTCAATTAATTTCTAATTTAATTTTTATGAAAAAGATCGATTTTATACGTCGAAAAATACAGTTTTACAGAATATTATATGAAGAATGTTCAAGTGCTTACGAGATAAACGTGCAACACGTTGATCCAAAAAATCGGCGCGTGTCCGATTCGAAAGATCCATATAAAAAATCTCGAAAGAATCTCGCCGTACAAAGTTGGTGAGGACGAGACGCCGGCCGGTACACGAGCGTGCACGAGCGAGGATTCTCTCGTGCCATGCGCACGTCTACCCGTCGTTCTCTCCCCGAAGATGCGTCGCCGTGGAAGAGGGAGGAAGGACGTCGGAGGCGGGCGTCGTAATTGAAAGAGGACACATCCAGGCCCGAAGAAGATGGAACTAGCGGAGAGAGACAAAACGTGCAGCATCTCCTACAGGATTCGTCGCTCGAGAGCGAGCGAGGAAAATGAGTAAAGCCAGAGGAGAGAACGGCCGAGCGCTCGTTGGAAGGCACGAAGAGGGAGGACGAAAGCCAGGAGGGGTAAGAAGCTCTCAAATTTGGTTGGTTCTCGCTTTCCACCGTTTTGTCGTGCGTGCCTATCCCTCTTCAGGCGAGAATCGGAGAAGATCGACTCTGTAGTCGAAGGTGGTGGGGCTGGTACGTCGAAGAGGGACAGGAGTAAGCAAGCGAAAGAGAAAAAGGTAGAAGAGAGACAGACTCCCCGTGTTTCGGCCAAGTTATATGGGTGAAATAGGACGAGACAAAAGGGAGAAGTTTAAGCGAGAGGAAGAGTGAGAAAGAAAGAGAGAGTGAGCGAGATAAGAGCATAAAGAAGCGAGAGGAACGAGTTCCTCCAGCGAAGGGAGCGTGATGGAACGATGGAGCCTTCGTGAGAGAAAGAGAAAACTTTGGACGAAGAGAGACACGGTTCGCCGGTGTGTTGAAAGAGAAGGGAGAAAGACGTTCGAGAGAACGGAGCGAGTAGAAGAGAGACGGTCGGAGAACGAGGGGAAACGCGCTCAAGTCTGAGAGAGAGGGAGGGAGAAAGAGAGAGAGAGAGAGGGGGGAGAGAGAGGGAGAGAGAGGCAGAATTCGAAGAGTCGGCAAGTGACGACGAAGAGGGGGTGGCGAGTATTGGCGAAGGAAGCAGTGTGGGGCGGAACACGGGCGAGGGTGGGGTGAGGGGAGGAGAATGGTGCCTTGGCGCGCGCCCGAGATCCGAGGTCTCGCAACTACAAAATTCCAGCCGGCAGAATAGTGCCGGCGTTCGAAGGATACGGTTGTACGGTAGTAGTGAAGTAAGCAAGTGTATATCATAAAAGAGTGAGAGAGAAAGAGAGAGAGTGAGAGAGAGAGAAAGAGAGGGGGAGACGAACGGAGGGGTGACGCAAGGCTGAGGTGGTTGCGTCTCATTGTGTTTGCGGCTTCAGTTCTATCGTTCTCGCAGTACTGGAATATGTGACGTCAGGTGATCGCTTTCGAGACGCCCACGATCAATCTTGAACAGAGACTCCGGAGACACCGAGTGAACGGTCCATGTACGAGAAATATACGCCGCAGATCGCAAAGTGAAAATAAAAGTGTAAAGGAGACTCGTGACAATTTGTGAGATAGAGATCCTTTTCGGGGGATTCTCAAGATGTATTTTTCCACCGGGATTCTTCTCTCGAAACCGCGTGACTGTCTCGCGCCGAACGGGAGTGACCTTGCTCCGAATCGAGGAATGCAGATACCGAGAGCCGCCGGCATTCTGCTCATGTAAATCACGAGCGATACGCGCGTTTGCCTCTGTTTTGTTTTGTTCGCCCCGACACCGAGTTAACCGGCATCGTTCGAATCTCGTTACCGTCGTCGAAAGCTGCAGCTCCACGCGGTAGGAGCTAGCAGGCTGTACCGTCCCGCTGTCGTCGACACGTCGCCCAGCCAGGGCCGACGATGCCGCACGCGGTGATCGCGATCTCTCTAGCGACATCGAGTTGGACTTTCGTGTTTGGAGTCAGTGCGATCATATGATAAATGTAGAACACGCTGTATCCCCGGTTTCTTTTTCTGTTCTCCTTCCTTGTCTCTTTTTTGTTTGATCCCCTCCCCAATTTACTCCACCTGCCACTACTAGTTCAACTGTCGACAAATCACGGAACAATTCTTTCACCCCCGCCGAGACTGAATTCGTACACGTGACTTGGTCTCATTGGTGCCGTTTCGTTACCACCATCGTCGACGTGTTCATGGGATACCTCGTGCGGTACTGCACCAGAGGATGCAATTCAAGAGGTAGTACAGTGACGAAAAAATCGTGAAGAAGAAAAGGAAATGAAAATAGAATTGCCTTCTCCCCGCTCGTGTGGGCGCACGTGGGATCGTGGCAAAAACTGGTGTGTATTTTTTACAATTTCAATCTGTTTGTGTTGTGTATAAACTACTGTTTGAACGTGTACGTGCGGGTAAACGACGAATGAAACGCGTGACTTGACGGTCGAGACGACGACGACGACGGAGGCAGAGGACAATATGAGTGACATGACGAGTGCCGTCGAGACGCAGCAGCAGCAACAGCATCAATACATAAGCGGTAGCTCTAATGCGGAGCATCGGTGTAAGGATTGCGGTCTCACCTTGGACAGCAAGGACAGTCTGGAAGTGCATCTGCGCTATCAGCACGAAAATTTGGTGAACCAGTGGGCCAGTAAGGCGCAGCAGGAAGAAAGCAATAATAACCATAGCAAGACTGGTAACCATAACAGCTACGTGAGCCGGAACAGCGTGCCGGCAGACTCGAGTGAGCCACCATCAATGTCGCCCACTCAGGATCAAACATTGTCACAGCAGCAGCAGCAGCAACAGCAGCAGCAGCAGCAGCAGCAGCATCAGCAGCAGCAGCAGCAGCAGCAGCATCAGCAGCAGCAGCAGCAGCAGCAGCAGCAGCAGCAGCAGCAGCAGCAGCAGCAACAGCAGCAGCAGCAGCAACAACAATCGCAACCATCTCAGCTTGCCATGCATCCAATACTACCGCCTCCCCCGTTTTTTCGTACTTCAGTGTATAATGACACCTACTACATGCAGAACGATCAGACTTACATCCCGCAGCATCCCTTTTCGTCATCGCAAGAAGACGGCCAGAGTAACGGCGGTGGTTACCCGCGCTATCATTCGTATCAGCTGTTTGCTGTGGATCGCGCCGCCTCTGACTCTACCAGCCCGCAGAACCCGCCTTTTCAATGCGACAAGTGCGGCGTCACTTATGAGGATGCGAATCAATTAGGTGAACACATGAGAACGAGTCATTTGCAGTCGCCTACAACGTATCCAATGTCTGCGCCTCAGTATCCGCAGCTGGTCAATAGTCCTCAGCAGCAGGTTTCCCAGCAGTTGCACCCGTCGCCGCCTCTCTCTAATCAACCACAATCCGGCTACAATTACAACGGTGGACAGACGATCAAGTCCGAAATGAAGCAGGAGCAACCCGAGGAGCAAGCTGAGATTCTTGACTTGGACTCTCATAAGGTGCAGCAAACGCACAGATTCGATGAGCACATCAGGCAGCATCGGGAGCATCTAAATTCATCATCAATACAAATGCTGGTGTCAACACATTCAGCACTGATGCAGCATCAGATGCAGCAGCAGCATCATCATCATCATCATCATCAGCAGCAGCAGCAGCAGCAGCAGCAACAGCAACAGCAGCAGCAGCAGCAGCAGCAGCAGCAGCTGAGAGGAGAACCGTTTGCGATAAGTAGTATATTGCCTAATCCTAATTGGCCAATTCCTCCAGAATATGGTGTACCCTCCCAGCAAATAGTTTCCATAAACCATCCTTCACCTATCACTGAGCACGATCACTTCATACACGCTCAACAAATGCCTCCAACTACGGATTCGCCGTTAACGATCACGAGCACACAACCGATGCAGACTCATCAGTTACCTACAACTCCGGGATACGCGCAAACGCCGAAAGTACCGGGGAGTAATCAAAACTGGAAGAGCAACGAACCGCGCCGTCCAAAGACGTACAATTGCACCGCATGCAACAAGTGGTTTACAAGTTCGGGACATCTAAAGAGGCATTATAATACTACTCTGCACAAGAATGCTGTCAAGAATGGTAAAGAGCCTGATCCGGCAACTCTGCCGATCACCGCTCATCATCATCCTTCTAGAGATAATGCCGGTTCTTCGACGAGCGGTAGAGGTGGAGGCGCTCCCGCGCCATCACCATCGGAGTTGTCTACCCGAAGTCCCCCAAACTTGATGGCAGGTCCCTCGGACGAGGTGACGAGGGGCCTGCTTCACACGCCCACCACGCTCTGCAACAATTCCAGCAGCAGCAACAGCAGCACCAAATCTTTAGCGGTCCTGAACGATCCAGCGATCATTCAGGGAATAATCACCAGTTCCCCGTTGCCATCGCCGGCGGGACACCACCAGCAACAAATGGGTACTGCGCTTCAGCAGCTGGGCTTGCAACAGCAGCCTCACCTGCCAATGGATACGTCGGGCCAGCCGGTACATTCGAATTCGCCCATCATGTCCCCGCTGGTGCACATGAATTGCAATTCCCCAATGGAATCATCATCCCTCCCGGTTCATCACATGAACTCGCCACCCGGCTCAGTACATCCGGTAATGACTTCGCCTCCACCGATGGGTGTTACGATGCCTCCTCAGCCGTACCCAAACGCCTTGCCCCCCCACGTTACAACTACTATCAACATTCCGGTTCAACTGGAGTCTATCCCAATAACTACCACCCTCCCTCTTCTTACTATTGGTAACGAGCAAGATGAGCGGCCACAAAACCGCTATTTGCCCGATTTCAAATCTATCTTGATGCCAAATTTCTGCCTCAGGGATATAGTTGATCACAACCAGACACAGGCTATTAACGTGGGGGGGCTAAGTGTTGAGGAAGTCATTCCTCAAGACTATGAATCTTCAGTATCGAATTACGGGCCGTATTCGCCTATGTGTTTCAAGGGATTGAATGATGTAGACATGTTGCATGCGAGTGCAAACGATATATTGTCAGCGGAAGCAAATGTAGACGCGATCAGCTTTTCACTCAACAAAATTACTATTGAGCCAAACAACAATGATCTGTCGTACAAGGAAGATTTGGATCCAAACGTCGGCTTATCTACGGTCAAGAAAGGGCGTAAGAAAGGTAAGGCAACTACGAAGAAGCAACGTCGGGTCACGAGCAGCAATGCTTATTTTATCTCGGAGAACGGCATCAACAAATGCCTCGCCTGCAATAAATTGTTCGAAAAGCCTTGTTACTTGACGCAGCATAACAAGAGCTTTCACTCGGGCGAGAAGCCATTTAAATGCAGCCAATGTGGGAAACGGTTTTCGACCGAGGAAGATCGCAAGAGGCATTCGGAAATGCATGCGATGGCGAGAAAGCACCAATGCGCAGAGTGTCCCAAGATATTCGCCCATAAAACTGACCTCAAGCGCCACAACTGCATCCACACTGGTGAGAGGCCGTTTAGGTGTCCCACTTGCCAAAAGGGATTCATCAGAAATGACCATAAGAAGAAACATGAGAATACACACAACAAAAACAAAAAGAAGAAGCAACAACAATTAAAAGCGAAGGCAACGGCTACATTTCTGGCTCATTCGCGATTCGTTCATCGTCCCGCCACTGGTCAGCGGGCCAACAATCAACAGTCGCAATGTAACAACGTCAACTCGGAGTTATAAAAACATTCCCTTGGGACGTCCGTGCTCGATTGGATTGTTCGACGCGCGTCCTCGACGTCGTCCTAATGACAAAGCGCGAGGTATGACGATTGTCTTTCACGTCTATGACGTCTATGACAGTTTCGCATTTTTCTGTAAATTTTCAATCTGAAACTTGCCGTGTATAATAATTATTAGGCTTAATTAATGATTAACTTTTTACTTACTATAGTTTACAAGATATATTGATGTTGCTTATAAACCGGTGAAGTAGTTAAGATTTGATATATGATTTTACGGAGCTAACTATTCCTCGTATGTTTCCCGAGAAAATAACGCTTCCCACTTACTCTCGGAACAGTTTCGACTCAATGTCGACATGGAAAAGTTCAATGCGTCTTTTAGCTGAGATTTGATGGAGAGATATGTAGAACGAACTAGTTGATATACCGAAGTTGTTTTCTGAGACGCGCTATTTAAAAAACAATTGATATCTGCCACACTTTCAGCAATGAAAATTGTTGCAATATTCGGACCAAACCTAATAAAATAGCACCAGCGCTCTCTCTTTATTGGTTTGTCGCATCAATTGCTTGATCAACAAATCGCGACTTCGGTTCAATGAGTTGTCGATGCTTTCGATGACTAAGGCAAGTTATAAATAGAAATTTGCGAAATTGGTCATAAATGATTGACAAATTTTGATGTCGGTGCAGTGTTAAATAAACAAGATTGTAAAAAATACAAGTGTATAATATCACTATATTATTGAGTAGCAACCAGAGCAAAAAAGGCTCTTCGACATAAAATTCCAACCATAAGTGAAAGGCCAATAAGCGTTAAAGCGCACCTGTTTGGCGGTTTTATACTTTTTTATGCGTTTGGTATTAAAGTTAACTATTAATAATTATGCATCTACAACCACACTTTATTTCACACTCTCTTAGCATAAATTTTTACGTTTATTAAAATTTACTTTTATTAATCGCATCATATATAACTTATCATTATGCATATTTTTCTGATTTTTTCTCTATAAAATATTAAAAATGTACATATATGCACACCCATTTTAGAATGCATGCGGTTTAGATAGAAACGTAATAATTTTTCAGATAATATTTATGAGTATAATTACATTATAATTACATTATAATCATAATATTGTAATTGTAAATACATATTATTATTTGTGCTATTAATATTAACCATAAAAGATCATCTTTATATCAAATCACAACACAAAAGTAAGCATAAAAAGCTTTTCATTAAAAATTTAGACATTTAGCACAATTGCCATAAAAACCTAGCGATGAAGCAAAATTTTATTCCTGTTTATTCTTAGTATTTTATAGTACCGTTGAATGATATCCTCGTAGCACAGTAAAATATTTAAAATATTATGGGTTTTCTTTTTTCTTTACTAACAAAGATAGAGAATTTTGTTCCAATTTTTATTCAAATTCAATATTAAAAACTTCTATTAAAAAAATCTTTGTGTTTTTCTCGGATAATATTGATATGAGTATGTTGCGATTGATAAGAGAATATTTATTGAAGTTTTATCAGAAATATGTATTTTACACTCATTTTTATATACATTCCAATTGGTGACCAGGCATGTTCTCACAATAGTGTCTCAGTTGTCTGTTTATTTAATAGCCTAAGATAAGCTTAGGTACAAGTTGAACGTCGCTCGAGGTGAAGTTTGCTCATGCTTTCATATTATTAGTTGAAAAATTTTAATAATTAGTTCTCATCTTTTAACATTAAAGAAATTTTTAATTTTATAATACATTATATATCAATTATAAAGTAATACAATTAAAAATTTTAAATTGGGTAGATACATGTACATTCCACTTGTAATCTCATCGACTTCAAATTTTTATATTATGTCCAATTATTACACTGAACTTTTGTTCCGTTTATTAACAAAATGAACTACTGGTTTCATCTTAGTACATGCCCTCTATCAATGAGAAGAAACAGGGTATTTTCGATATTCTTTATTTAATTCATTAACGTTGTTCCTTTATATTAAATATATTGAAATACTTATTAATTTATTAGTGATTATTGACATATATACACATTCATATATTCCCTGTATTGAGGTTTGTCGATTAGATACTTTCGGAGCTCAATCGTTTCGCATATTGACAGCACTAATTAATCGATGCCTGATTAATTACCGGCAAAACAAGCCAATCACCGAGGCTATGATCCGACTCCCTTGAAGCGAATTTTCCCCTCGAGCCACGCGTCGTTCGGCGCATGCAAGCATGCAATTGTGAGTAAATGTTCACGTCGCTATAACGAAATAACGCCCAGATACGCATAATTATTTCTGACGGTCGTTGTCCAATCGAGCGGTCGATTTCAGTTGCGGTAATAATTTCTTATACTATTACTACGCCAATTATTTGCCTTTATCATGCAAGCAATATTGCTTAAGGAGAATTATCTCCCATTTCAACAACGTTGAGCTTTCACTCAATTTATTTCATGGTTATGTACAAATTATATTATACACAAAAATTAAAAAAAAATTGTTTCTTTAGGAAAATATCACTTGTTTCTATAAAATAATTGTACATATTTTATCTATCTATCTATCTATCTTGTACATATTTTATATTTTATATATTAGTTATCCATTCGTTCATCATGACGGTCCGTATTTTTTAGGCGTTTATCTGACATTTTAATAAATAACAGAAATAAAAATGTCATGATGTCGCATTGTTCGTTCCTTATTGTTTGTTAATGTTTTTTGACAATTTATTGCATTATTAATAATGTTTAATGTTTACACAATAATAACGTAATTAATAATTTATTAATAGTACATTTATTAATAAGATTTTCAATTAAATCACGTTTACCTGACCGTCACGATGAATACAGGTATTTCTAAAAGTATATCATCATAAAACTTGCTATGTGTTGTAAATAAGTGAAGGGAAGGGATGGATGAAGGAAGGAAAGGGAAGGAAAAAAAAATGAAAGAAAAAAACAATAGGCGCGATTATCCTTCATTTTCAAGATTCAGTCTTGAAAGCACTATTTCATAGCAAGAATGTTAGTCTTTATCGTTATGACGAAATAATATCATTTTAGAAGTATCCTGTATAAAACGCATGGATATATGTAGATATAAGACTCACTCGTCAAATTCGGTGCGTCAGATGAGTGCGAGTACGGATCCAGTACTTAACAGAGCAGTAAGCGTAATGTTCTCGCAAACCCCGTTCTGTTCATTGTATTAAAGAAGAGTAATATCAACATAATAATATCGATGATATAATATAATAACGATAACACGGTAACACGGTAATTCATATATAGCAGTCTTGCCATTTTTACTACGTAATGTCACATCCGGAACAGTCTACCTCAGAGTTCAGGAATTTAACGATGAATGAATGGAGAAGAAAGGAAGGAATGTGAAAGAGCTAATGCAATAATAATAATAATGATACTTTAAAAGAAACGAACGTGCCGTGCGGGTGATACGTTGTGTTTTTACACATATTGCGTTTTACGTATCAATAAAGAAACGTTTAGACGAAATGACTGCTTGTAAGAAGTCCGCTCTTTTGTCCGAGCATCGCGTTGAGAAGAAACAATTTAAAAAAGCGTAAAAAATAGCTTTTTCTACTTGTTTCGTTTCTCAGATCGCTCGCCGGTTTAATTAACTTATAATAGGACATGGTACGTTTAGAATTTAACATAAAAATGTACGAATGATGAGAAATTTCAGAGACAAACAGAAAAGGAGAATAGAAGAAAGAAAATTTAATAACCAATCTGGTTGGATGCGCCGCGTGCTACTGTGAATTAAAGTCTCGATAATATATAAGCATAAAAATACACATAGTTATACACGCAAATTGACGAAAAGACTTACGCGCGCAGTATGTACGCTAGATTAATATTTAACGTAACGTAGTGTTTTATTTGATAGAACACAAATACACTTGCCAGTTTATTTCGTCAATTAGTGCATCCTCTATATTGTGTTTTTATATCTCCTAAATTAATGCGCGACCGACTTTGCGATCGCAGCCATGCTAAGACGCAGAGACGTAAAGTCTCAAGAAGATTGACGTACGTTTTCGTTTAGACATATCACAAACAGTTAATGAAAAAAAAAAAAGAGAGAAATGATTGTAAACGAGTGCGCGCGCATCAGAAGAAAATTGCCGCCCTCCGATTACGATCGAGTATATTTCTCCATATCATTGTTTTACAAAACGATCGTACGTCATATGAGGTAGTGAAAGGAGTACAGGACACAACATAATTTTATTCGTCCTCATGCACGAGAAGAATAAGTGCAAAAAAAATTATAAAAAATAATTTGAATAGCGATATTTTTTATATTCTTGGTTCTTTACCCACGCAATTCTGTAAACCAAGAAACTGCTCAGTACTATCGATTTGACTTATTATATTAAATATGAACTAATATTATGACGATTATTATATAACATTATTATTGGAGAACGAGTTTCATGTTATTCCACTATTATTATTATTTTTTTTAATTTAAATTTTTATGTTTTATTAATATTATTGTTCGTGTTATGCGCCAAATATTACACACATACAAAGATATATTGAATAAAAAGAAATACTAAATCAACTTTGTATATTTCAAATTCACTTGAGAAATGCCTATTATGTGCAGTGATGATCATCCCAGCACGAGAAATGCGCTATGTATTAGTACGAACACTTTTTTGCGTATATGTATACTGGGGAAGATTATTTTCTGAAACGTACATTAGGCCAATAGAATAACATATCTTAGATTTAAAATAATAATTAGTTTAGCAAGAATAAGGCTAGTTTTAATTTTTTATTTTAACAAAACCGTTCGGATGAATTTCCATAAAAGAAGAAAGAATAATCGAACTTTCACACCTTGCAACGTGTAGAAACAATGTCTCAAGATGTTTAAAAATGAACTCTTAAGAGAAACTATTATCCTAGGAATCAAGAAGAGAAGTGAATTATGCATGATGAAATTTCTCTTTCCCCTTTTCTTTCTCTTTGTAACCTAAGGGTTTTAGAAAGAGAAAAGTTGAAGTACTTTTTATGCGAGAATGTTGTGTCTATATATACACATACACATATAAATATCATAAAATTAGGAATACATATGTACATAGAAATGGAATTAGAATTACGAATCATTAAGTACATAAGGATAACAGAATGACTGATGCTGGTATAAATGTCCTTCTAAAAATGTGATTTTTCTGGGCATTTTCTCGCAGAGTAAGAGACAAATAATTTACACAGTGCGAGAAAAATAACCTATATAACTTGAGAAAGATTTTCTCGTTTGATTAAGACGTAATTCCGTATGCATTTCTTGTTTATATATACATTACGTGCCATACGCATAGCTATGCGTAATGATAAATTATAAAGTTCCAGAAAGAGAAAGCGAAAGAGTGTGCGACAATTCTAACAGAATGAATGATAATACTTCAATTATGTGTGTTATACTGTATACTGACATTAATTTCGATCAAAATACGAAATGATGGCAGTACACCTTTTCTGTTCCTCTTAACGAGCGTGCAAAATCCCGAAGGAAACGTCACGAAATTAAAAAAATGAGACAAAATCACTCGTAATCAGTAAATATACTAATTTTACAGATCATGACGTTTTTCGAGACTTTACATGTCTTCGAATTTACAGAATAGCTATACTTCGGTGCATTATTTCTCTATGCTGATAGCGAGATAATTTTTCTGGAAAACACAATCCATTTTTTAATTTCCGAAGCATGATTTTTGGGGATTTTGCATGCTCGCACCGCTGTTTTAAAAATCCATAACTTAGGATGCGTAATAAATATCTCATAACGAAAAATTGCAACAACTGAATCAAAAGAAAGATTATTTCCATAGAAATTGTATATGCAAGGCATTGTAGAAATACAGCTCGCGTTAATTTTATTACGTAGACAAAGATCTTTTTCAAAAAGCAACTACATAAAAGTGAACATATAAAAAGGCTTTATATGGTTTTTAATTGTCGTTATTTGCGCATCTTAGGACTCAACTGGCATCGTGGGCTTTTCCCACATTGCAACTAGTCATGACTTTTAATATTTTAATAATAGAACATGAAAGAGATATTTGTCCATGCTTGTTCTCAAAATATAAGATCTAATGTTCATTTAATTGTTTTTTCAAGTGCATGTTACAATGCGATGGTCTGTGTGACTTTGCACTACATAATAATACTATAATGTATATGATGCTAGGCGTGATAGAGTTGGGAGAAATACTATTACATATTAATATTATACTGTGGTACGACAGAGCTAGAGGCAATGTGTGTAGGATACCTCTGAAAATATGGAACCGTACTGCATCACTCCCCAAAATATAACAAAGTAAATTATTAAGTTCTTCATTTCTCTTTTTAAAGTATTTTTATTAATAAATAAAATAAAATTTAGCATACGTTTATCATTAAATACATATTTATACAAGTTTTGACCATTAAAGTATTTTCCTATTTTCGTGAGTGATGCAATCGGTTTCTAGATTGTTTTTATAAATTTTTATATAAAGAAATATTTCTGTTCGAAATAAATAAATACCGCATGTAGTTTAAGTAAATTAAACGGTTTTTTGTTGCTTCTTTTTCCTTTTTTTCCATACTTTTTTTCCCCCATTAAACGCACTCATTCTACGCTTTACGGATTATATAGTGTATATACTGCATGTATTATTTGATGTGTGGGTATATCGTACTATTAGCAAAATCCAATTACACTTTGTATTACCGTAAGACAAGTGAATTCGAGTTAACACTGTTATCTTATATTTAAGATTATATGTATATAATACGGAAACACACGAGAAACGTTAAAAGATCCATGAATGATTCTGTCGAGTGTTTTAAAAATACTTTTTCCTGCGATACGAAGTTACGTGTTATGTTGAAGCAATTTAGCCTTGCCATACGATATACCACATTCAGCGAAGTTTAAGATATGGCGTATGATACGCAGGTAACTGAACGGGTTAATGCACGTTATGTTTGTTTCGCGTATTCGTGATCGAGCCTCATTAATCCCCGGCGAGCAGAACATTTTAGCCGTTTCACGTTCGAAATCCATGGATTCCTCCCGTTTTATACACTGTTTGCACGTATATTTTTTCTCGCGCTTTTATTGGCCAATTTAGTTAATATCAGAGTACAGACACGTGGGCATGTACGCGCCCGCGAGATTCCATGAAATATCCTGATCGCGGCGAATCGCCCAACCTCCCGATCTGTACCATTACACCCACCGTCTCCCTTCTGTAATCCTCTCCTCACCGCCCTTCCTCCCCCTCACCCACGCCAGCTTCTCGTCGCGTACTCGTAACCTTGGGCATTCTGTAATTTAGCAAATTGTTGCGGACTCGACGAAAGGAATCGCTCGATTCGCGAGTGCTTCGCCAATAGCGATGATAGGCATCGTCCGCCGTGCTTGGACGACTCGAGCGAGAAAAAGGATAAATAAATAAATAATCGGAGAATCGAGATAAGGATGTCTCGTGA